TTCACCTTGTATAAAGAGACAATCCAGGCGGACTCGGGCAAGGGGATATGGTGTAGTAGCAGTTAGGTCCGTGATGAGAACAGTTTCTCTGGTGTAGGTGACGTTGGGTACAGCTAACTTCAGAAGAATAGACTGTAGCGCAGCCATGTCTCTCAAGATCTTCATTTTGAACCTTTCCTCCAAATCTCCACAACTGGCAGAGACAGTTCCGGCATACAGGTGTCTGTTGAAGAGAGAAAGATAATTGGAGTTAACACGAATACTCATAACAGGCTTACTGGGTTAGGAGGAGTTGATTTGGGTTTAGGAGTCTCACTGATGCCCTTGTTCTTAGAACACTTTTCTATGGCATGTCCATAGGTTCTGCAATATATGCAATACAACGAGTTCACATTGCTGGTACTCACATTTGTAGGACTAGACCAGGTTGACTTACTGGAAGGTGCGCCAGATGGTACTTTGAGAATAGAGTCAGCCAATTGAGCACATCGGGTAAAGTTGTTTTCTTCCTTGTCGGCTAGGTAGAGACGTATTGGATTAGGTACACGCCTGAGGAATTCTTCCACCAGGATGAGGTTGACGAGTTCTGTAAAGGTGGAGACTTTTGCGGCTTCCAGCCACTTCATAAAATACCTCTTCTTGTTATTTGCAAACTCTAGATAAGTGGTAGCACTTGCTTTAAGGTAATCCCTGAACTTACGTCTGTAGGTCTCGGTGGAGAGGAGGTAGGCATCGAGCACTGCTTGCTTCAGTACCATGTAGTCGGTTTCAGACGCTATAGTACTGCGAGTCACTGCAGCTCTACCTGTTAAATGAGACCTGAGAAGCACAGACCACTGATCCTGAGGTCAGCTAAGTTGGGTAGCTAGAGCCTCAAATGAAGTAAAAAGACATCTACTTCAACAGAAGATGGCATTAACTTAATTGCATGTGAAAGGTTAAAACGTACCGGAAGTTTAGCTTCAGCTTGTTGGCGCCGAGTGTGGAGTGTGGTTTCCAAGTCAAGTTCTTTCTTACGGTGGTCTAGAGCACTGGCGGCTTGCTTCTTATCGTGTTCACGTTGTATCTCCAGCTCGCATTCTTTTAATTCAAGCTGTTCCCTCTCACGCTCACGTTGGAATTCAATCTGCTCACGTTGTAGGGCAGCTAGGTCTTTCTGGAGCTGAAGAGCTTCCTTTTCACGCTCACGTTCTAGGGTAACTTCACATTCCTTCCTCTGGAGAGTTTCCTTTTCAAAGGCAGCTTGTTCTTTGAGACGTTCACGTTCGGCGTTAGCGAGCTCTAGCTTCAATTTTATAGCTGCCAAGGCGTTCTTGTCTGCAGTTAAATAATGTTCATGAGATTCAGGAGTAACAGCATCATTGTCTAATAAGTGGTCCAGGATGAGGTTGTGCAAATCAGTTTTAGTGGGTCCATGTGGGGCTGTAAAGTGGTACTCATTTACGAGAGTAAGCATCTCCGCCTTGGTGGCACGAACTAGTGTGCTCACTTCATCGTTTGGATTCTGTCTAAATGTGGAAAGACAAAACATGGTGAATGATAGCAGATACATGCAAGAGAATACTCAGGTGGATGTACCAAAATATGAAATGTCAGAGTGACAGGATGACGTGGCAACGGTAAACTATCCTGTTTGAATTTAATAGTCAAGGTTACAATTAACTTTAGTAAGTGATCAAAAATGAAACTAAGCGTTTCAAGGAAGTAGGGAATCTTGTACCCGGTACTCTATATGACGAGGATAAGGGCAAGAGGGATCCTACTTTAATGTTGAGACAATTATCTCGATGGTAGTCCAAAAAATGTAGGGATTTCTTACCTTGTATGAAATGACGAGAGCAAAGGTAAGAGGTTTCCTACTAAAACTAGATAGTACTTACAGAATTAACAATCTTTGTGCTCTGGAAAAGAATGATAACTCCCTACCTGTGTAAGTACCATATTCTCTGACTGACACTTAGTGTCGAAGTGTCAGTTAATGATGAGAACTGCTTGTAGGGGTCCCAACTTTACAGAATAGTCGGTGCGAGAGGAACTTTGGCCCTCTATATCCTCTTACGTTCGGGTTGCAATGATGTGGGTGTACTTGGCCCGAAGACAGACCATAGTACCAGGGTACCAAAGGGGTGATCTGTCTGAATGAGAACTCTCCTGTAGGGACGAGAATAAGGTGGAAACACAGGATATAGCAAAGATTATGGAACAACCAATCACGAGTATGACTGTGGCCACATGACACCACGTAATTCAGAGTCATCCAACAATCATAAAATGCTACATCTGGAAGGCCAACAGTATAAAGCACAATAAAATTAGTCAAAGAATAAGAATTCAGAAAAATTAAATTTGTAATAAAGCAAAGTACAGTTACCAAAACTTTAAGTGAAGGGTCTAGAAGCATTTACCCGAGCTAAGCTCAAAGACAGGCCCCCAATTTGTGACAGGAAACGGTGGTGGTCGTGCAGTCTCTATAATGCCAGTCCCAAAATATTTAAAAAAAGTTAAACTGCAAAAGATGTCTTCACTGTGAGGTTAACTGTAGGAGAAACCACACAGAACAAAAATTTAAAAATACTGTATTTTAATAGAAATCTTACTTTAAACAAATTAAAAAATAAAAATGTTATTAAATTTGGCTTTATACAGAGTGCAAAGTAAACAAGATAAACAGACAATTAAATTTACGTTACGTTAATACTAGAAAATATGGTGCAGGAATACTGTGAGTCAAACTGAATAGCTCTATTACCACACCGGGGTATGTCAACAGGTCTACTCAGCAAGAGCACTCAGGAGTAATCTGAATCTTGGAGAGGTTGGTAGCCCTATTTATACAGATTGACGGCCGGGCAGATGGCGCTGGTGACTTCTTTAACTATGAACTGGCTCACTTAAACTGCTTGTTTCCGAGGGCGTGGTCTCCCAGTGACCCAGGTGCGATGTGGGGTGACGGGCAGTGGGGTAGGTAGACTGGTGGTATTGTCTAGACGGCTGGAAGTTGTTGTTGGCTGCAGTTCTTGATTAAATAGACGTGAATGTGTAGAATAGGTGATAATGGAGCTGGCCGAATATCTTATTAGAGATTTAACTGTGACTTTACCATTACCTTATATATATATTTTATTATTATTATTATATATATATATATATATATATATATATATATATATATATATATATATATATATATATATATATATATATATATATATATATATATATATATATATATATATATATATATATATATATATATATATATATATATATATATATATATATATATATATATATATATATATATATATATATATATATATATATATATATATATATATATATATATATATATATATATATATATATAATACCTGGGTTCTCTCTCTCTGAAACTGCTCAGTAGACTGTCAGTGAAATCTACCCTTCCTTGCAATCCTGTTAATACAACCCAGTGTCTTATCTTATGGTATGGCAGGAGAAATCCCTCAGGAAAGCAAGGACTGCTCCCCACCGTTCCTCCTCAGGAACGAAGGGAGGAAGAGAGAACGGGAAATAAAGAGAATAGGGGTAGGGAGGGAGGGCGAATGAAAAGGAGTGAATGAGAGAGAATGAAAGTAAGAGGGCGAGAAGGGAGCTGGGAGAGAGAATGATTTGGAATGAGAGATATTCATACAGAGTTATACACAGAGCAGGATAGATATACACAGAGAGTCAGACAAAGATACATATAGAGTCAAACATAGCAAGACAGAAATACACACTGAGCAGGACATAGAGACAGAGAGCAAGACAAAGATACAGACAGAGCTCGACATATATAGATGCAGAGCCAGACAGAGATACAGGCCCAGATAGAGATACAGAAAAAGCCAAATAGAGATACAGACATACAAATAGAGCCAAACAGAGATACAGAGAGAGCCAGACAGATATACAGACAGAAATACAGAGATACAGAAAGAGTCAGATATTTATATATATATATATATATATATATATATATATATATATATATATATATATATATATATATATATATATATATATATATATATATATATATATATATATATATATATATATATATATATATATATATATATATATATATATATATATACAGAGACAGACAGAGATACGGACAGTGCCAGTCAGAGCCGGACAGAGCCAGACAGAGATACAGACAGAGCCAGACAGATATACAAACAGAGCCAGACATAAATACAGACAGTGCCAGACATAGATACAGAGCCTCAAAAAATACCGACAGTTCCAAACAGAGATACAGACTGAGATGCAGACAGAGCCAGACAGAGATACAGACAGAGCCAGAAAGAGATACAGGCAGAGACAAACAGAGGTACAGACAGAGCCTGACAGAGATACAGACAGAGCAAGACAGAGATACAGACAGAGCAAGACCGAGATACAGACAGAGTAAGACAGAGATACAGACAGAGCAAGACCGAGATACAGACAGAGCCAGACAAAGATGCAGACAGAACCAGACAGAGCAAAACAGAGCAAAACAGAGATACAGACAGGGCCAGATAGAGATACAGAGACAGAGATACAGATAGAGATACGGACAGAGCCAGACAGAGCCAGACACATACAGACAGAGCCAGACAGAGATACAGATAGAGATACAGACAGATATACAAACAGATCCAGACTGAGATACAGACAGAGATACAGACAGAACCAGACACGGACCCACGCGTTGCCGATCTGGAGACTGTTTAGTGTAGTTAGTTAACGTGGGTCTGGAGACTGTTTAGTGTAGTTAGTTAACGTGGGTCTGGAGACTGTTTAGTGTAGCTAGTTAACGTGGGTCTGGACACTGTCTAGTGTAGCTAGTTAACGTGGGTCTGGAGACTGTTTAGTGTAGTTAGTTAACGTGGGTCTGGAGACTGTTTAGTGTAGCTAGTTAACGTGGGTCTGGAGACTGTTTAGTGTAGTTAGTTAACGTGGGTCTGGAGACTGTTTAGTGTAGTTAGTTAACGTGGGTCTGGAGACTGTCTAGTGTAGCTAGTTAACGTGGGTCTGGACCCACTGGTGTGGCATGATGCACTTGGGTCTGGACCCACTGGTGTGGCATGATGCACTTGGGTCCGGACCCACAGGTGTGGCATGATGCACTTGGGTCCGGACCCACAGGTGTGGCATGATGCACTTGGGTCCGGACCCACAGGTGTGGCATGATGCACTTGGGTCTGGACCCACTGGTGTGGCATGATGCACTTGGGTCTGGACCCACTGGTGTGGCATGATGCACTTGGGTCTGGACCCACTGGTGTGGCATGATGCACTTGGGTCTGGACCCACTGGTGTGGCATGATGTACTTGGGTCTGGACCCACTGGTGTGGCATGATGCACTTGGGTCTGGACCCACTGGTGTGGCATGATGCAATTGGGTCTGGACCCACTGGGGTGGCATGATGCACTTGGGTCTGGACCCACAGGTGTGGCATGATGCACTTGGGTCTGGACCCACTGGTGTGGCATGATGCACTTGGGTCTGGACCCACTGGGGTGGCATGATGCACTTGGGTCTGGACCCACTGGGGTGGCATGATGCACTTGGGTCTGGACCCACTGGTGTGGCATGATGCACTTGGGTCTGGACCCACTGGGGTGGCATGATGCACTTGGGTCTGGACCCACTGGGGTGGCATGATGCACTTGGGTCTGGACCCACTGGGGTGGCATGATGCACTTGGGTCTGGACCCACTGGGGTGGCATGATGCACTTGGGTCTGGACCCACTGGGGTGGCATGATGCACTTGGGTCTGGACCCACTGGTGTGGCATGATGCACTTGGGTCTGGACCCACAGGTGTGGCATGATGCACTTGGGTCCGGACCCACTGGGGTGGCATGATGCACTTGGGTCTGGACCCACTGGGGTGGCATGATGCACTTGGGTCTGGACCCACTGGGGTGGCATGATGCACTTGGGTCTGGACCCACTGGTGTGGCATGATGCACTTGGGTCTGGACCCACTGGGGTGGCATGATGCACACGGGTTCCGGGACGGAGGTGAGACATTGATGCAAGGTGTGGACACGCCGCTGGATGAGGTTTAAATATTTAGAAGCGAGTGTGGCGGCGGGATGGGGACCCGGGACCAGGTCAACGCTGTCTCAATAAACAATGTGGAGGACCTTGAAGGGGAGAGAGACGTTCCTGCGGGTGTGTGACACTGGGAGCACCACACCTGCTGGTGTGTGACACTGTGAGCACCAGACCTGCTGGTGTGTGACACTGTGGAGCACCACACCTGCTGGTGTGTGACACTGTGAGCACCAGACCTGCTGAGGTGTGACACTGTGGAGCACCACACCTGCTGGTGTGTGACACTGTGAGCACCAGACCTGCTGAGGTAGGACATTGTGAGCACCACACCTGCAGGTGTGTGACACTGTGAGCACCATACCTGCTGGTGTGTGACACTGTGATGCTCCAGACCTTCTGGTGTGTGACACTGTGATGCTCCAGACCTGCTGATGTGTGGCAGTGTGGAGCACCACACCTGCTGGAGTGTGACACTGTGATGTCACAACTTTAGCATGAATGACGGAATGACGGAAATGGTTCGAGGTGTCTGCTGGTCAGATACAAGACTCGGACCATTTAGACAGCAACAGGAACACAACATGAGGACTTGCCTTTATTTACCTGTGGTTGGGACATTTGTTGATACAATGAACAGGATTCAGTCTGAAAGAGATAAATCTATATACGGATATTTTTGCTTCACCGCTGAGCAGGAAGTGAACAGATCTCCCAGGGCGAAGAATTACACGCTCTGGAAACTACCACCACAAATCTAGAATGAATCCTGTGTAAAGGCTGGGATGCGTTACTCTAGTGAAGGAGTCGCAGCGTTAGCACGGTCCATAGAGCGGTTCGTTACTGTTGTAACCATAATACTGAAACCGGTTGACTACTTATAATTACATGTTACAATAACATCAACGTATCTGAGTCTCACAATATAGTCTGTTTATGATAACTTTCATACATTAGCGTGAATTAATTTGTGTTCTTTAAGTAACAATGTTTCATTCAGTTCTGTATATACAAGGATTAATATTTAAATAACACCACTTGATATGGGGAGATACGCAATAAACATTTCCAATCCAATTGAACTGTTGTATATATAATTCATCCTTTAAATACACAGCCAAAATGAACGTGAATGAAATTCATAAACAAATATATATTATTATTTAAGATGCAAATTAGCATAAAGGTTTGAACTGTTGGGGAAAGAGGTAGGGGCGCTCTATCCTAACATAGAGGAGCTCTATACTATTATAAGCGACTGTGTCCTAATGTAAAGAGACTCTACCTAACATTGAGGTGATCTAAACTAATTTAAAGACGCTCTACAGTGTCATAAACTACAGACATAATAGGAGTTCTTCACTAGCATGAAAAGACCCCAACACAAGTATAATTACTTTACCTTATTATTATTAAGAGGCTCTACTTTCAGGGACTCTACACTAACAAAATTGGAGCTCTAAACTATTATTAGGGACTCTACACTAACATAAAGGTACTCTTCACTGATATAAAGGTACTCTACACTGACATAAAGGTACTCTACACTGACATAGAGGTACTCTACACTGACATAAAGGTACTCTACACTATCGTAAAGGGACTTTACACTAACATAAAGAGACTCTACACTAACAAAAAGAGACTCTTCACTATCATAAAGGGACTCTACACTACCATATAGGGACTCTACACTACCATAAAGGGACTCTACACTATCTTAAAGGGACTCTACACAAACATAAAGAGACTCTACACTAACAAAAGGGGACTGTACACAAACATAAAAATACTCTACACTATCTTAAAGGGACTCTACACTAACATAAAGAGACTCTACACTAACATAAAGAGACTCCACACTAATATAAAGAAAATCTACACTAACATAAAGGGACTCTACACCAGCATAAAGGTACTCTGCACTACATACCGGTAATCTTCACTAACATAAAGGTACTCTACACTAACATAAAGGACCTCTACACTAACATAAAGGAACTCTACACTAACATAAAGAGACTCTACACTAACATAAAGGAACTCTACACTAACATAAAGGGACTCTACACTAACATAAAGGGACTCTCTCACACTATATACAAATAACATAAAGATACTCTACACTAACATAAAGGGACTCTACACTAACATAAAAGGACTCTACACTAACATAAAGGGACTCTACACTATCGTAAAGGGACTCTACACTAACATAAAGAGACTGTGCACTAACATAAAGAGACTTTACACTATCATAAAGGGACTCTACACTAATGTTAAGAGACTCTACGCTAACATAACGGGACTCTACACTAACATAAAGGGACTCTACACTAACATAAAGGGACTCTACACTAACATAAAGGGACTCTACACTAACATAAAGGGACTCTACACTAACATAAAGAGACACTACACTAACATAAAGAGACTCTACACTAACATAAAGGGACTCTACACTAACATAAAGGGACTCTACACTAACATAAAGAGACTCTACACTAACATAAAGGGACTCTACACTAACATAAAGGGACTCTACACTAACATAAAGGGACTCTACACTAACATAAAGAGACTCTACACTAACATAAAGGGACTCTACACTAACATAAAGGGACCCTACACTAACATAAAGGGACTCTACACTAACATAAAGGTACTCTACACTAACATAAAGGTACTCTACACTAACATAAAGGGACTCTACACTAACATAAAGGGACTCTACACTAATATATAGAAACTCTACACCATAAGAACATAAGAACAAAGGCAACTGCAGAAGGCCTATTGGCCCATACGAGGCAGCTCCTATTTATAACCACCCAATCCCACTCATATACTTGTCCAACCCGCGCTTGAAACAATGGAGGGACCCCACCTCCAGCACGTTACGCGGTAATTGGTTCCACAAATCGACAACCCTGTTACTGAACCAGTATTTCCCCAAGTCTTTCCTAAATCTAAACTTATCCAATTTATACTCATTGTTTCGTGTTCTGTTTTGTGTTGATACTTTTAATACCCTATTAATATCCCCTTTGTTACGTCCATTCACCCACTTGTAAACCTCTATCATGTCACCCTAACTCTTTGCCTTACCAGTGAATGCAACTTAAGCTTTGTTAATCTTTCTTCATATGAAAGATTTCTAATTTGGGGAATTAACTTAGTCATCCTATGCTGGACACGTTCAAGTGAATTTATATCCATTCTATAATATGGCGACCAAAACTGAACTGCATAATCTAAATGGGGCCTAACTAGAGCAAGATATAGCTTGAGAACCACACCAGGTGTCTTGTTACTAACGCTGCGATTAATAAATCCAAGTGTCCGATTTGCCTTATTACGAACATTTATGCATTGATCCTTTTGTTTTAAATTCTTACTAATCATAACTCCCAGATCCCTTTCGCAATCCGACTTCGCAATCTCAACACCATCTAGCTCGTATCTTGTAACTCTATCATCATTACCTAACCTCAGAACTTTACATTTATCAGCATTAAACTGCATCTGCCAATCCTTTGACCATTTCAAAACCCTATCTAGATCAACTTGAAGTGATAGTGAGTCCTCCTCCGAATTAATTTCCCTACCGATTTTCGTATCATCGGCAAATTTGCAAATGTTGCTACTCACACCTGAATCTAAATCATTTATATATATTATAAACAACAGAGGTCCCAGGACAGAGCCTTGAGGCACTCCACTTACAACATTTTCCCACTCTGACTTGATTCCATTTATACTAACTCTCTGTTTCCTTTGGTATAGCCATGCCCTAATCCAGCTTAATATAGCACCACCAATACCATGAGACTATCTTTTTAATCAGTCTTTCATGTGGCACTGTATCAAAAGCTTTGCTAAAGTCAAGGTACACAACATCACAATCCTTACCACTATCAACTGCCTCAACTATGCTAGAATAAAAAGATAACAAATTTGTTAAACATGAACGGCCATTTATAAAACCATTTTGCGACTCAATTATTAATTTATGTTTTTCAAGATGAAGACGAATTTTATTTGCTATTATAGATTCGAGTAACTTTCCCACAATAGACGTTAGGCTAATTGGTCGATAGTTAGACGCAAGTGATCTATCTCCTTTCTTAAAAACTGGTATCACATTAGCAACTTTCCAAAACTCTGGCACTCTGTCTGACTCTATTGATTTATTAAACATGGTTGACAGTGGGTCACAAAGCTCCTCTTTGCATTCTTTAAGCACCCTGGCAAACACTTCATCCGGCCCTGGGGATTTGTTTGGTTTGAGTTTTACTATTTGTTTAAGAACATCCTCCCTGGTAACTGCTAAACTTGTCAACCTGTCCTCGTCCCCACCCACACAGACTTGTTCGGCTGAAGGCATATTGTTAAGTTCCTCTTTAGTAAATACAGATACAAAATATTTATTAAAAATACTACTCATCTCTTCATCACTATCTGTTATTTGACCTGTCTCAGTTTTTAATGGACCTTTCCTTTCCCTAGTCTTAGTACGATATAACTGAAAAAACCCTTTAGAATTTGTCTTTGCTTGCCCTGCTATGCGAACGTCATAGTTTCTTTTTGCTTTCCTTATCTCTTTTTTAACATTTCTAACCAGTTGTACGAATTCCTGTTCTAAAGTGACCTCCCCATTTTTAATCCTTTTGCACCAAGCTCTCTTTTTACCTATAAGGTTCTTCAAATTCTTTGTTATCCACTTTGGGTCATTAGTATTCGATCTATTCAATTTGTATGGTATACTACGTTCCTGTGCTTTGTTTAGAATATTCTTAAATAAGTTATATATTGAATTCACATCGAAATCCCCATTTAAGTCACCTATCGCTGGGTTCGTGTCTCGCTCCAAGACCGGCCCACACCCCATACCCAAGACTTTCCAATCAATTTGACCCAAAAAAATTCTTAGGCTATTAAAATCAGCTTTTCGAAAATCTGGCACTTTAACAGAA